ATATATATATATATATATATTAAATTTTAAAAAAAAACTTAGACTAACTTTTAAATAATTTGATTTTAATTAAATTAAAAATATTATTTTTATTTAAATTGTACTTCGCTCTAATTTAGTCATTTTTTAAGGATTTTTAATTAAAAGCACTAGTAAATAAATTGATACAATTATTCAAGCTTTCGTGTATATTTTTTAATAGTTTTAATTAAAAGATTTTTAAAATTATAATAAATAGATAATCTTTTAAAAAAAATCATATTGGATTTGATATTTTCATGTTTATAATAATAAAAATATTAATCATTAAAAAGTATGAAAATATTATTTTATAATTATTTTTTAAGATTGAGTTTATAATAATAATAACATTTTAAAAAACGGACGTTTTCCAAGAGAAGTAAAAATATAAACATAAAAAAAAAAGAAGATAAAAGCTCTTGTTCCCAAATAAAAAAATATTAGTGCAAAAATATGTTAATTAAATTAAATAATAAGAATTATTTTTAGAAGAAGTGCAAACTTTTTTAGTGTTATGTTTTTTAATAATAAAATGCTTACATTTAATAATAGATTACCTGTTTATTAGAATTAGATTGAAGATCGAATTTCATTAGCTCTAAAATACTTCTCTCTAACTTCTTTTTAAAATTCAAGAGTTATGAATTTATGAAGTTAATTTTTCAAAATTTGTCTTATATACTTCAATCCTCTTAGGACCAATTCTCGCTCACACACTTGGGTTATATCTTTTATAACTTAAGTTTAAAATTATCTCAACTTCAACTCCACCCCTCAAAAGCTAAAATAACAAAACAATATAAAATATAGTCTTAGTTACATATATTACTATATATAATAAAAAAAAAGGACATCATGTTACAATTCTCCCCGACAACATAAATTTTTGTCCCAAAAAATCCTCTACTTGGAAACAAAATTTTAGATATTATTGATCTTTGATCCTATTATTTAGCTCTCAGATAGCAATGTCAATGGTCACATCTCAAATAACTATAAGATTGGTAAACTTGTCTCTCAACTCTTTCATCTTGTGATCCACAATTGCAGCTTAATTTTTCTCATAAGTTAGATTCTCCTTAACTTGCATCATATTGGATTCAACTATATGATTAAGGTCATAAACATACTTCTTCAACTAAGTTACAAGAAACACATGTTTTACTTTAACACACTCAAGAAGTTTCCTCCTCTTATGTGCATAAGATTTCTATTTACTTTGAGTGTATCAAAATGAATTATTAGAGTGATGATTTGAAAAAAAAAATATTCTCTTTATGTATATTATAGAGTAACAACTTATATTATTTATTTTGTATTTTATTTATTTTTTTAATACAAAGAGACACAAACTCTTTGACCCTTGCATTTATTAAGTTAATTTAGTGGATTTCTTAATTGATCATAAAAAGAAAATCAAGTTATAAGAAATATTCATGTTGTGTCCTCTCCTTCCTCCCCGGTCCTGACTTCTGCTCACCTTTAAATATTAGAAGTCACAATTTCATTATCAATTTTATGGTAAACCTTCAGCCAAACTAAAGGTTTGTTCCAATCTTATTCTTTCTTTTAAAATTGTATTGAACTCGTGTTACATTATATATTTTTTAATTTTCTTGATTAAATTAATTAGGAATATTTAATGTGTTATACTCAATTATATATTCTTAGTTACCAAATGATTTATAATTTACTGCGTTAACATAGTTGACTACATTTAAATATTTGACTACGTTAATCACATAAATAAAAATGTACATTAAAGTTAAAAATAGTTTTCTATAATTTATAAATATAAATAATTATCAAAAAATTATAAATATAAAATAAATTTAAAGTTTTTTAAAAAGTTGTGTGTGACTATTACAAAAGGGTAATTTTATCATTGAAATATAATTTAATCCTATCATATCATTATCTGGTGGTATATCAAACATAGGACATGCTAATACAATGCTATTTGTTTTGTTATCTGATGTTCATCAAACATTGGAGTCAGCAGTACTGAACTCTGGTCCACTATTCCAAGAGAGAGTGCATTCCTGTTGAGCTTTGCTACAATCTCGCAAAAGATGTAGGATATCTTCAGAAGCTACGCCACACCTGTTACAAATTCAATAGAATCCAGGGATATCAATAGTGGACAGATTAGAAGTAAGCTGAATTTGCAGAATAAACACCAGAAAGTGCCACAAATGATGATATCATCCACATTCTCATTGACGAAAATACTTCGAATAGTGTACTGAATATGCTGAGGAAGCTGAGTTGCTAAGTAATTAAACTACCAGCAACCATTATTATAAATATCATTGACCATGAATTGGGTATTTGCACATAATTAATCAATTCACATAATACCCCTCAATCCCTTTGTCACACCAAAAGGAGATATCTCCTTTGCCCACTTTAATAATGAACCCATCTCTTAGGTCTTAGCCAATCCACAGATTTAACAATGGAAGGCAAAAAGAAAAAAAAAAAAAGAAAAGGGAACTGCCACGAGGATTGCACGGGCTGAGAATAGGAGCATGTCTTAAATACTTATGGTTAATCAATTGGACCCACAACGGTCAGGATCATGAAGGACTTTCCAAACATGCTTCCCCAACAACAAGATATTAGTTTCTCTGGCTGTGCGAACAACATAGATATATGCATAACATAACAAATTGAAAAACCAAATATTCCAATCTTGATTTTTACAAAAAATTAAAACAAAAATCTGGTTGCAACATTAACGCATTAGAAAATCCTCATTCTTTTGAAAGTTATATGACTTCACTAGTAATTCCTTAATCAATTTACAGAAAATATAACTTCAAAGGATATTTTTCTGAAAAGAAAAAAAACTATAGATAAAGAAAGGACTAAGCCACACAGGTAAGAAAACCCTAGTAAACAATTCAATGTACAACAAAATCTAACATCTGCCAAAAGAAGATAATCTATCTATGGTTATTTGAGAAAATGAGAAGACCTTTTTGTTGATGGCTGAATTGTGAGCCATTTACATTGGTATAGCTATTGCTTGGATTCTTGGAACAGGGAATTTATAAAATTGGTGGTGGAATCGGATTCCCCGCTAGCAATTGATCTTCTCTGGAACGGGTGCTCTTCATGTCACCCATGTTTTAGTCTGGTCCAGAGTATCCTTTCATTTGCTGCTGCGGGTAGTGACTTTGAGTTGAGGCATATTCTTTGTGAAGCTAATCAAGTTGCTGATGTGCTACCTAACTATGGGAGAAGCCTTACAGATTTGAAAATATTATGTCTTTTATTTCTTTAGTTATTCTTGGTGATGTAAGTTCTACTATTTTCCCTCGGGGTTTTAATTTAGTTTGTGGGGGCCGTGCCCCTTATTTTCACAAAAATAATAAAAAAACCAAAACCACCAACAAATCTGTTGCAGAAAGAGAATACTGTGTAAACCATCTGATCCGACAAGCATTATCCAAGAAATGCTACAATATTGCTGAAATATTCTTACCATGGAGACATCATAAATTAAAGGGAAGTTATCAAGTTTTATCAACAGAAACTTTCAGCTACGCAACAATACACCAACAAAAGTTTTATTTGACTAGTAAAAGGCCAGTCCTCTTTCTCCTACACTCCTAGTTATCAAGAACTGGTATAGTTTGGTACAAAATGTCGGCTGCTTGCTCAAGCTCCTTCTCTGTTATGATCAATGGCGGAACAAGCCTGACAACATTTCCTTTTCCAGCAGTTAATACTAAAAGCCCAGATTGTCGGCATGCATCTACAAGGGGTGAGGCAGGTACATCTAAATCTATTCCTACAATTAGCCCAACACCGCGGATTTCTTTCACATGCCGGTTTCCGCCTAATTTCTGCTTGAGTAGTTCTTTGAAGTAGACGCCTTTCTCAGATACAGATGATAGGAAATCAGGTTTTGATATTTTATCCAAAACAGCAAGAGCAGCACTACAAACAAGAGGATTTCCTGCAAAAGTGCTTCCATGGTCACCATAATTTATAGAAGAAGCAACTCTCTCAGTCACTAAGACTGCTCCAATAGGTAGGCCTCCGGCAAGAGGCTTCGCAAGGGTCATCATATCTGGGAAGACACCATATGCTTCGTGGGCCCAGAGAAACCCTGATCTCCCTAAACCACATTGAACCTACAAAATCACAGAGCATATTATAGTTAAATAGAATATTATTGAGAACTAAATGGAAAATTAAATTTATTTTATAAATATACTTCAAAACATGACAGTTATACTTTGTCACTCAAAAGAAATAAGAAATTTTCATGGATTTACTAGAAGGTCACGGTACTAGGCAATTTCATTCTTCTCACTATCATTAAATCAAATAATAAGGCATAGATAAACCAACCAACCATTTCAAGTGACAATGTCATCAAGAGCAAGATATTAGATAATATTTTCCAAAGCATCTCAACACAATTGCAAAATATATTTAAAAGTGAAAACTGAGTTTGTGCCTTTACCTGTTACATATGCAAAGTTCTGTTAGAAAAACTCGCTAAAAGTAGGTATTTGGTTACTAGAATAAAACTACAGTTACATATCAATATTATATACTCGATACCTCATCAAACACAAGAAGTGCCCCGGCTTCATCACAAGCATTACGCAGAGACTGTAGAAATTCTTTTGTAGCACTATAAATTCCACCTTCTCCTTGGATGGGTTCCACAAAAACTGCAGCAATCTTGCCCTGTTTAATTAATTCTGTTGCAGCCTGAGCATCTCCATATTCTAAAAAGGACACTCCAGGCATAACAGGTTCAAAAGGTGTTCTGTATTGCACTTTACTTGTCAAAGCAAGTGCACCCAGGGTTCTCCCATGGAAACAATTACTAAAAGCTAGAAACTCTGTTGCTGGCACTTTCCCGTTAGTAGTTGTCTGCTTCTGATACTTTCTTGCAAATTTAATAGCTGCTTCATTTGCTTCAGTTCCAGAATTTGCAAAGAATACACGATCAGCAAAAGAAGAAGTCACAAGGCGCTTTGCAAGTTCTACCTGCATCAAATGCCAAAATAATTATAGAAACAGATAAAAAAAGTTGAATGCAACACTGAAGACACATAACATGCTGCTACAAGAAATGAACTAAAGTAAAGCAAAATGGAACAACTATAAACAAATACAAATAAATAGATACAAAAATAAAGTTATAACATGGACATGCACGATAACATTACAACCGTGTACTTATTGGATAAAGCAGAAACTGATAAGTTGTTTTATTTCCTTTTCATAATGTAGATACAATGAAAAAGTGACATTACAAAACCTAATGATCAATGACAATCGGTCAATCGCTTTCTCAGCAATCACCAAAGCACAATGAAGAAGTATGCAGCTGAAATCTCAAAATCTGAAACTCTATAGTATAATGTAAAGGAGGGAGGATTCATACAAAAACAGATTAACTAGCATTTACGCAAACATACAGGGGAAAGAACAAATTTGACATTGGGAAAAACACACTACACTGAATTCTAAGAACAGTAGGTCTAAAACTGGAGACAGGTGTAAATAAATCTTTTAACACCTTATGAAGACTAATAGCTAAGAATCACTAATTAAGTCTTTCGGGTAGTAAATTAAAAATTACTAATAGAAAGCTGAAGTGTTGATAATGTAACATACACTATGTTTAATTGGGGACTTGATTTTCAAATTTTTAAATTGTTTTCTCCTTTCCCTGCTAGTGTTCTAGAAAAGTTATAGTTTATAGAACTAGAAAATTTTGTAAGCACTAAATTCTAAGGTTTATCTTCAGTCAGTGAATGGTTCAAAATAAAACAAGCCCTTAATCCTGGAAAATTTCTTTTCTCAGAAGCTATGGTAGATATCAATTAAGAGAACCATGTTCCATAATCAAATATACAGTTCTTGTCATTCACTTTGCTAAAAATCCTAACTCTTTCATACCTTTTTGTAAAATAAAAATAAAAAAATATCGAGTGCACACATTTTCAATTCATTCCTTTGTCACCAAAATGTCAATAAAAAATTACAGAATCTCCATTAAACCCAAAATACTGATTGACAAACACCAAGTTGAGCAATCATAAAGTATGTAATCACCATTCCCACCTCCAATGATCCAACCCTGACATTGAAAAACAAATTCTCTTAAAAGCATTTATAAAATTAAGCATACTTCCGCATATCAAAAGAAATGCAAAAGAAGGCTAAATTATGTAAATTCGAATAGTTTGCAATAAACCACTAACAAAACAAATAGCAAATTTATTGCCCTGCTCAATTGTTTACAATAAACCACTAGTGCCTCAATTCAAACAAACCAAAAAAACAGCAGTAATTTTTGTTTCAATTTTGTTTCACAATATATAAGCAAATAGAAAAAAATATACAAATAACTCAATACAATAAACAACAAACTCATCATATGTCCATGCCTGAGGTATTGATAGGTAAACATAAAGTTTTCGATGAATTTTATGCAAATGAAGACATTGACATAACTCGCAAAAATAGAAACAATAAGATGGCCAAACCTGAGGAATTGTGTAGAATATATTGCTGGTATGAGTAAGGGTACCGGCTTGCTCAACAACAGCTTTCAACCAGTCTGCATCCCCATGCCCTAGTGCATTGACAGCAATCCCAGAACTCAAATCCAAATACTTTCTCCCTTCAACATCATACAACTTGCAACCTTCCCCCCTCTCAAGCACCACTGGTGTTCTTGCATATGTCCCCACCAAAAACTTCCCCTCCATCTCCATCACATCCTTCGTTGTCTCCAATGCTATCTTCCCAGCATTAGGTGCACCAACATCCATATTGAGACATGCACTCACACTCACAACCCTGTGGCATCTAATCTGAACAACAGGACTAGTTCCCACCTGCGACTTGTAAAGTTGCCTAGGTTTGTAACATGATTGAGAAACTGAATTGCTCAGAGAAATGTAAAGTGCACTCATTGTGTCCAATAAAGGGATATATCCCGTCACTTGTTCCTTTTATTGAAACAAAAAATAATTAAAAATAAATCAGCTTGCCGTATAGTTCACTTCAGAGACAGTCCACTTGAAGCAAGAATTTTCAGGTCACATCTATTCATTCAAAACAGAACTGATACATTGGCAGCTGAAAAGGACAAAGAGACAAACAGGGAAAAAAAAGAGCAAATTAAGATTAAGAATGAAATTGAAAACCCCATATCTGCAAGAGATTCGTTACAAGCACAGAATGAGTACCTTTAGGTTATAGGAATTTTAGATGAAATTTGAATTCCTTCTAATAGAATTTCCTTCATTTTTCAAATATTTTGTTTGGATAGAGTAATCCAATTTTCTTGTATTTCAATTTCTTTGTTTGGATAGAATAATTCAATTTCATGCGAAACTAATTTTACTAATATGAATGAACTTCTTAACATTTGTCACAAGGACTCTTACTATCAATTTTGAGGCATTACAAAATAAAATAAAGATTTTAAATGAAATTGTAATGTTGGAAATATGAATATTTAAAATGTCATTTTATTCATAAACTAGCAATTTAGCTTGTGCAATGCATGAATTTGGAGATAAAGTGAACAAAATCTTATATTATTCAAAATTGAACTACAGAGCGTGCAGATGTTATCCAACTATTCAAACCACCATAATTTTTACTTAAATGTCATAAAAATTGGTTTTTAAACAGAAGAGGATCCAACTATCCAAAATTAACCAGAGTTATCCTACTCGTCCAATTGGCAGTACACTAAAAAAGAATCCAGATATCATCCCACAACATATGTAAAACATGATGGAGATACATGCTAATGCTATACCACAGGAAAAAAGGTATTTACTAGAACACATTGAACAAGTATGGGTTTAGGATGCAGAAGCACAATCATATTAGCAAATCAAGTAGAAGATGGAACTGGAAGGAAGCTTACATGATGAAGTAGCTCTATAAGGCTCTCCAACCACAACAACCCAACTCTCTCTCTCTTGTTATATGCTACTATGTCCGTCTTCTTCCTTTTCAACCTGTGAGAAAAGGAAATTTAAAGTCATAATCAGGTTTCAAAGACTACTGTGCCCATATCAGTAGAAGAGATGAGTGAAATTACAGTGCAAAGCAGCAAGTTAAGGTTTCAAATAGATGAATAATAATTTATACAAAGCAAAAGAGGATAGACTAACCAAATAAAATATGCACCCAATCAGAAAGAAACAATAAGCATGAATCGTTTTTCTTTCATGTTTATTTATCATTACCTGGAAGTGAATGTGCATGTGCAAATTCAATCCATCAAAAAAAACTAATTTCACAGATGCTAAGGAAAATAATTAAATGCATTTAATTTTCACAAATTCATAGAATTACGAAAATATTCTTAATCATATTTATAGCAGATAGTACTCTAATTTATTGCATTATCGTTAATTTTGGACTAAAAGCATTAAATAAAAAAATGCTTGTATTTGAGTCAACAGAGAACCCTAAATGTTCACTTTCAGAGAAACAGAGTGTGTTGTGTTGTGATTCCTAAATGTTCAGTTTCAGAGAAACAGAGAACCCTAAATTCTAATGCCATTTTAGTATCATGCAGAAAATGGTGAGAATCAAACGAAACCCTAACTAAAAGAGAAGGGAAAACGAACCTGAGAGAGCGCGTGAACGGAGAGGCTGCGAGCGCAAGTGAGGGTCGAAGAAGGAGTGGCAAGGAGGAAGCTAATCCGTGAGGGTCACGATTTTATTTATTTATTTTTTAATGATTTTTTTCTTTTTAGAAAAAAAAATTCTACCCATTATTTAATAAGAATAAGAAAGAATATAAAAATGATTGGAATAAAAATTAAATCTAGATTTGATGCTTTTAATTATTTTAACACCTCCCGATCAAATTCTTGGAGTAGACCTTCTACCGGTTAATATATATATATATATATATATATTTTTTTTTACTGAACTATCCACCTCCGATAACCTACTTTAAAAGGTGTGATAGCTGGTTCCAAAGTTTAATAGCATACACAAGACATGATTCAAATCTCTGATCTTGCTTAAACATAGATCAACTCCTACCGCTGAATTACACGCTTGGAATTTATACTAGTTAATACTTAATTTTATATTTCTAATTATTTCAATCCTTCTTAATAAAATTCTTAGACTAGATTATTTTATTAATTAATACTTAATTTTATACTTCTAATTATTTTAATCTCTTCCAATCATATTCTTGGACTAGACCATTCTACCGATTAATAATTGAAATTATTTACTTCGATTTTATTTTAAGGCAGAAAGGTAGTTTATAATTTTTATAAGGTTATAGTGGGGGAAAAGGGTATTTCGTAAAAAATCAAGAAAATAAAATTATTATTTGTTATTATTGTAGGAAAGAGACAAACACTACTTGTCTCTGTATATTATTTTTTAAGAACTTTTGAAAAAAAGTGGTTGTTAAAGTGTATAGTATAAATTTAGAGATATTAATAATTAATGAAAAAGTATGGATTGTTATTTAAATTATTATTTTATGATTGTTCTTATACGTATGAAAGTTTTTAATGAAATTTTATTAGCGACGATTGATTTTATATTAATGATAGTTTTTATGGAAGTTTTATTAGCAATTAGTAAGGGTAAAATAGGATGAAAAAAATGTACACAAAATGAGATAATCTTATTAATATTAATATAGATTAATATTATTTTTTATTTTTGTTTTAGAAAATTTCTTTTGTTTATTTTATCTACTTTTAATATTTTATTTAATTATAATATTTCTATCTTAATCTTTATTTTTTTTCCAATTCAATAAAATCTTTTTGTTTTATCTTTTTTGTTCTCAATAAATTAATAATCATAAAACTTTATGTAAATTGAATATTTTATTACTCAATGAGAATAGTGTAAACTTTTGATACAACACTTTTTTCTTAAAACCATGGGCGGTGCATTTGATTTGCTAAAATCAAAGAGATAGGACAATACAAAACTTATGTAACATGTATGATTTTAAAAATAGTCAAGGGACAAAGGAAAATAAAAAATGAAAGACAAAAACAAAAATATAAAAACTTGTAATTCACTTATTCTCGATATAACTTTTTGTTCATTACACAATAGATTTAAAATATTAAAAATGTCTCACACATTCTCTCTCAAGCACCACAATTTTTCTATATTGTTTGTTTTCAGATTTTTTTTTCCTACAACAGTTTCCTCCTCACGTTTAGACTAGGGTATATGAGCTAGTCCAGCTACTTTAAGGGCTAGGCCACAAAGTATGTGTTTATAATGAGTCACATAAGTTAAGGTGGTGAAATAAATGATTTTTTTTTTTTAATTTGTATTTTTGTGGACCTAGTAACATTTTTGAGGAAAAAAATTAAAACACAAATCTATCTTCTTTTTTTTCTTTCCTTATTTTTAAGAAATCAAAAGGAAGAAAATGAATACATTAAAAAATTGTATAAAAATATAAGCATCAAACATTGTAAAATTAAAATAAATTATCAAAACCTGAACATATCAAGGCTTATACATTTAAACAAAAATATTATATAGTTTTAATGTCTTTAACAACTAAAATACAAAAATACCAACCAATAACAAAGTCAAATACATCAAACAATTATCAAAGTTTTAACACTTAATATCTCAAGAACAAAACATTAAATATTGTAAAGGTTAAACACACCAAGAAAATATAACCAAACATTACTTGATTCCATGTTTGATGTAGCCTAATCCTCCTTCTCCATCTCCACATTTTCATCTTCATTTCCTATAACTCATCGCAACATCATATATTCTTAATATAAATCAAAAGTTAGTAAGATGGTTTAAAAGGGAAATAAACTAGTTGCAAAAATCTAAGAAGTTAATACAATATATACCTTGCACATCAAATCCCAACCTCCATTTTCTAGTATAAATTGTAACACCCCATATTCACATTTTATACCAAATAGTATTTTAGAAATTATTTTGATATTTAATAAGTTTATTTTAGAGTTTTGGATATATTTAATTAATTATATGAACTCTATTTTATTTATGAGACATGACTTTTAATTATTATTTTAATTAGTAATACATTAGTAATTTTACGAAATATATTTTGTTAATGGATATGCTCATGTATTTATTAAAGGGAGAGTTATGTTTTAATTATTAGTAATTATATTATGAGGAGAGGAAGGAAGGATATTTTAGTAAAGTGTATTTTACTATTAATTATTTTAAGAAAGGAGGTTATCAGGAGGAGTTAGTAAGTTATCAAACCCAGTTTCACGCTTCTCACTTCTTTTCCTTCTTACGCTTTTGAAGAATAAAGAGAGCTCCAAGAAGAAGACTAACATAATTTCGCTCGTGCTTCGTCTTCTACTCATCAAGGTAAGGAGGGAGTGAGAAACCTCACTTAGGGATGTGGGAATAACTATTGGGTAGTAGGATTGACTCTCAAACTTTTGCCTGATGTATGACTATGGAAACATACACTTTATGAATGTTTTCTGTTTTGCATTTTGATTGTTCTGTTGCATTCCTTATATGATTATGAGTATGAATATGCGATTAATTTTGAAAATAGATAAGTTTGATAACAAAATTGGCCCTCAATCCTTTGCCTGACTATGGAAACAGGAACTTTATGAATGTTTTTTCTTTTGTTTTTTGATTGTTCTGTTGGATTCCTTATATGATTGTGAGTATGAATATGTGATTAATTTTGAAAATAGATAAGTTTGATAGTAGGATTGGCCCCCAATCCTTTGCCTGACTATGGAAACAGATACTTTATGAATGTTTTCTATTTTGCTTTTTGATTGTTCGGTTTCATTCCTTATATGATTGTGAGTATAAATTTGAGATTAATTTTGAAATTGGATAAGCTTGATAGTAGGATTGGCTCCCAATTCTTTGCTTGACTATGGAAACAGACACTTTATGAATATTTTCTATTTTTCTTTTTGATTGTTCTATTGCATTCCTTATATGATTATGAGTATGAATATGTGATTAATTTTGAAAATAGACAAGTTTGATAGTAGGATTGGCCCTCAATCCTTTGCCTTACTATGGAAATAGGCACTTTATGAATGTTTCCTATTTTGCTTTTTGACTGTTCTATTGCATTCCTTGTATGATTCTAAGTATGAATATGTGTTTAATTTTGAAAATAGATAAGTTTTGATATGAATTAGAGTGCTCGGTGAGTTCCTGTGAGAAACCCTACAAGGAACAAATTGGGACATGAACTTTTGATGAGAACCGTTATGTGCGTACCCTTATGGGATGATTATGAAGATGTAAAATGTGACAAGTGATATGAGATATGATGAGACATGATAAGTGAAGTGTTGAGTCAATGAAATAGAGAATGTGTGACATGCATCATGTGCATATATGACTCCAGGTATGTCGCTTAAGCCGCATGTCAATGATGTAATGAGTTATTTCAGGTGTGCCATTTAGGCCGCATGCTAGTGATGTAATGAGCTATTCTAGGTGTTCCGCTTAGGCTGCATGTCAGTGATGTAATGAGTTATTCCAGGTGTGCTGCTTAGGCCGCATGCTAGTGATGTATTGAGATATTTTAGGTGTACCTTGGTCACCAGTGATATATTGAGCTATTCTAGGTGTGCTGCTTAGGCCGCATGCCAGAGATGTATTGAGTTATTCCAAGTAGACCTTGGGTCACCAATGATGTATTTATGAATGAATGTGCCCCCAGGTATGTTGGTATAATAGCATGCCAGTGATGAGAAATGTGCAACTTTCATATGGCGCCAAATGCATGCATTTATGAGTCGAATCCATGACATTATTGCATGATAAGTGAATGTGCATCTATTCTAATGTATTTATAACTTGAGAGTTGTGCTTGGTTATGTGTAATTAGTGTAGTATTTGTTATGAATGTGTGTGTGTTGCTTAACATTTATTTCTACATCTGAACTAGAATGAGATGTTTCTCACTCCCTTGTTGCTCTATGTATATTTTTATTGTGTTGCAGGTGATTATCAGCATGAAGATGTTGGTGATGAGATTTAAGTCTCATTGTGGAGTGTGCTCTGATAAGACATATGACATCAGGGCTTAGGATTAATTTAGAATGTTACTCTTGTTAAATTGCTTAGAAGACCTTGATTTTATTCTTTTGTAATTTTTGCATTAAACTATGATTTATTATTTATGAATGTGAGCTCTTTACCCTTATATGGTTAGAGACTTGGATTTTATTTATGAAGGTTTTGATTTATCTCCATTTATTGCATAATTATGTATGTGGGGTAGAGGGTGTCACATAAATTAAGGCTTGTACATTTTGTGGAAGAAACGAAGTTCGATACGTTTTAAGTACCCATGAACTAATACTAGATGTCAATTCAGAAGGCACATAGTAATTTGAATATGTAAAGTGACACAAGCCAACAAAGCAAATTTTGGAAAGCTAACTTTATTTTCCATCCAATATTGCAAAAGAACTAAATTTGGATGGTATTGTGAAGAAAGATTTTTCTCTTCCAAACACATGTCTAATTGAGATTTACCTACTTTTGACAAATTTTCATTCTGGTATTGTATAAACTCCTACGTTATTTCAAAAAAAGGAATTAGTTAATGAATGATAGTTAATGAAAACAAAAATAGTGAAAGCAAAGAAAAACATAAACTTAATAAGTTATTATGATGTTGTTGGGTTTCCTTTAGAAAGGCTACTAGTAGATGAAGTCTCATGTGATGAACCTTGATGTGAAGACACATGTGAAGTTGTTTCTTTTGAATATGTTAA